AAGGCCTCTTGCAGAAATGACGTGGTAAGGGAAGCCGATGGAGGTATCAGGGCCTTGCTGCCTTCCCTTGTAGAGTTAAAGTATTCCTTTGGGCATGTCCGGCCGAGCACGGGCATGGGGGCACTAGCCATCCTGTCTGGGAGAGTTGCACTCCAGGTCCGAGAACTGGCATATGGGGTCGCTTCATAGAAAATTAGGGCTGGAAGGGACCTCAGGAGGTCAGCAAGCATCACCTCGTGGGGGCTGGCAGGATAACGCCATCCCGGCTGGCAGGATGCGCCGCGCAGCAGAGATGACGAGGGGGCCTGTTCTCTTCCGCTCGGTGGTTTTCAAGGCGCGGGGCTGTCTTGTATCTCTGCACTAATCACCCAGCTTGATGCCCGATACAGGCTGACAGCTCTGGTCCCGCGCCCATTCCTGCAGATACAGCAGGGCGTGCTGGCTTTGCCGCGCCGCACGTGCTTTGACTGCGGTTAGGGGGTGGGTGGGTGGATCTGTATTTCCCTCTAGGAACAAACGGACGGGTTTGGGGCCGGGGGCAGGAACGACGGCAGGGGATGCCTCTGTTTCAAGTGTCGGGAGCCCAGGTGAGTCGTTAGACGTGCACCCGGCGGAGTCGCGGTACGTTAAGAACAGCCGTGCATGGCTGTTGGGGACGCGTGCTTGCGTGAACATGCATTGTCACGTCCTTTTCGAGACAGGTGCAAATCCACGGATCTAGGCAGGGAGCTTCGATGTGCATGACCCGCGGGGCGCTGCAAAGCCGCAGCCTGCAAACCTAATTGGAGATGTTTCTGAGCCCTTGCTACAGAGATGCTCCGTGGCAGGCGTGAGTCATCGGTGCCAGGGCTCGGCTGTGGGCTGGAGGAGGGTGGGAGGCGCCGTTCCCGCCGGGAGAGTGACGCAGGTTTCGGTGCTCAGGGCTCTGTCCTTTTATTTGGCACCAAGAGCGGACTTGTCTCTGCACCTGCTTTGTCCAGTCTTGGAGGCTTTAATTCCACCGAGCATCCGTGCAATAAATGATGGGGCCTCCAAAGGCCTGAATGCCCATCCCCGTCCACCCAGGAGCAGGGGTGGTCTGCTAGACACCCCCCTTCACAGCACGGCTTGAGTTTTACTATTAACTACATCATTCCTCCAGCCCCAGCTCTCTTGGTTGGGGGGGGAGGCAAATGCAAGCAGGGACCACCGGTCCCTGACCCCTCTCTCTCCTTTCGTAGCCATTCCTTTGTGCATCGCAGCTCCACGGTTTTCACCGTGCATTTAGTCCTTCCATTGCATGAGATGGCTCCGGTCTGCCCAGCTCTGGTTGCACAGGCATGGGCGTGTTTGGACCGTGCCGGCACCACGGCTGATCCACCCCACGGGCGAAGGCCCTGCTTCAGAGCACAGTCTGCAGCTGGAAATGCACATCTGGGGGGGATTTTAGCTTCCGCACCTCCGTCACTGTGGTAGAGCCGGGGGTCAGGGAGGTTGTTTCTACCTGCCCAAAGCAGTGACAGGCTGGACATGGAACTGAGATGTTGCACCCTAAAGGATGAGGTTTCCCTTGAAGTGTTATTGGTGGTTCTGATGTTCAAGACCAAGACCCGGGTGTGCATCGCAGCTGGACGCATGAGGCTTTGCCCCTTAGGCTAAAGGCCGTGGGCAGGGGCTTGGACCAGACCTGTGTCACCGGTGCAGCAGGGGACACGCAACATCCAGATGCACCGGACAGCCAGGACAGAGCTCCGACAGGTCCTGGACCCCGTTAAGCTCGGGAGAGTTTGCAACAGCAGTTGGCGCGGGCTGCGATGAAGCGCTCGCCTCTGCTGGCCACGACTCCCTTGGACATCTGTGTCTGCTGCATGGTGGACAGGTCTGCTCCTGGGCAGCCAGGTGGAGGTTGCCCTCGTGCTCCAGGCCTAGAAATGTGCTGGCAAAGATGCTCCAGGGTGCCCCTTTGCAACTGCTCTCCGGGCTGCGTGTTTGGGCAGGGTATGCTTCGGTGCATCCTTGCTGGGATGCTCTACCCCTCTCGGTGCTTTTCCATTGCACCTCCGAGAGTCGGGGGAAACCTGCTGCTTTCTCCTCCTGGGAGACCCCAAGGTGCTCCTTCAAGAGGGAGGGCTTGCCCACTTCCAGCACACGCCTGTGCTCTCCGAGCAGGGACTTTTGTTTCATCCATCGCCATCCTCTCTGGCTGCGCTACACCCAACCGGATGGCTTTTATTCCCTGTGCACAGGGGGTCTCAGACTGCTTCGTTAGCCATCAAAGGGCTTCTTCATTGCTCGCCCCGGACAAACCAGGAGGCTTTTCTGTGCCAGCATCCTCTCCCCCCTCCACCAAGGGAGCTGGGGTGGGTGCTGTGAACGATAACACTATGCACCGAGTGATGCTGTGCCGGAGCGGGGCCAGCGTCAGACCACCCCAGTCCTGGGTGGACAGAGATGGGCGTTCAGAGCCTTTGACACCCCGTCATTTACCGCTGGGATGTGCTGAGGCATTAAAGCCTGTGCGTAGCCCGCCCGCTGTCTGCTGAAGGAGGGGGAAAACCCCCCCAAATCCCTGACCTTTTAAGTGGGAGAGGCCTGATGAGCTGAGTCAGTGAGACGATTGTGCACCACTTGCTAATTGGACCTGGGGGGCGGGCGCCGCTGACAGGGCCTGGGGAGGAGGGTGTGCGGGTGGGCGCTGCGGGAGGAGCCGGCCCCTCCTGCCCGAAGCCTGCGCGGCACGGGGCTGGGCTGCTCCGAGACCCTGCAGCTGCCTGGACTTTGGATTTTCTCCCCGTGTCTCTGGGTTGAAGCCAGTTGTGGCTCAAGCCGGCCGCTGACCACCCCCGGGATAGCTCAGGTAATGAGGGGCCTTCGTGGAAAGGGTCGGCGGTCTCGTTTGCAGGTGCATGAAGGGTTTGATTCTCTGTTGAACCAGCTGCTTGTCTTAGGGGCTGGTGAGCATCTCTTTAGGGTTGCTTTTGGGAGAGGTGGGTTAGGCACCCTCTATGACCTCGGGAACTGGCCCTTCGGCGTGGAAGCGCTGACCGGCTGCCAACTCGGCCGGTATGGGTTGCCATAGCCGATGCCTTTGCTCTGCGCCTCGTGCTCGCTGCCCCCCAAGACGGTGCGGCGAGTGTGCGGGGCGCCGGGCGGCCCTCTGTGATGCGTGTGTGCAGGCTTGCAGGGCTGCGTTCGATACGCGTGCGCCGCCCCCTGTCCCGGCTGGCTCTGCTGCAGGTGGTCCTGGTCCGCTCCTGCCTGCCTGCCCACCTGGAGCCTCCCAGGGCTGGGGACACGGCCGCCGTGCAGCTCCCTGCACAGGGAAAGTCGGGGCGACGTGATCATGGGGTAAATCCTGCCTGACAGGGGCAGGCTGAAGCCACAGGGAGCTCGGCTTCTGCAGAAGTGTGTGAGAGACGTGCAGAGAGAGAGAGACACGCACACACACACACACCCAGAGACACTTGGGCACGCCCCCCGAAACACCCTCCCCCGAGACACTCAGACACACACGTGTGCACACATTCCCAGAGACACTCAGACACACATGCACACACCCACAGACACTCAGACACACTCATATACACACATACTGAGACACACGCACATGCACACATCCCCAGAGATACTCAGACACACACACATACAGACATGGACACCCACACACATGCAGAGACACATGCACACACACACACATACACTCAGACACACACATGCGCACACATCCCCGGAGACACTCAGACACACACATGCAGATACACATGCATGCACACACACATGCAAACACGATGCATGCAGAGTTGCACAGACAGGCAGGGACACATGCCCAGACATGTACGCGTGCAAAGACACATGCACACACCACACTCTCTCTCTCTTTCTCTCTCCTCGGATGCACGGAGCAGACACAGGGACCTTTTCCCAAGCCCGTGCCCACGTCTCCTGGGTGCACTGGGAGGCGCTGCCAGCAAGCAGCGTTGGCCCACCCTTGCCAGCGTCTCTCTCTATCCCACCTCCCTGGCTGGGTGGGGGGACGTGGGTGTCCTGGCCAGCCACCTGCTTTCATCTGCCCTTGACCTCTCATGCCCAGCCCCAGCAGCGGTGCTGGTGGCTGGTCGTCGCTGTGGGGTCCCATGTCTGGGATCTCCGTTTCGGAGGCCGCTGCTCTGATTGAGTCGTTCGCTCCTGAAAGCTCTGGCGTGTTCAAGAGCTCGTTGAAAACTGCTCTTGTGTAAATGGTCACAGCTCTGAGAATGGCTGGGCCTGGGCTCCCACCATGCAAAGAGAAACAGCCCATGGGCTATGCCTCTTAATCCAAGATCATCCTTGGGTGCAGAGAAACACGTGTGGCTGGGTGGACTCAAAGGGAGAACGGCAGTGCAATGCAGAAGGACTCCTACCGGGTGCTCTGGAAGAGCAAATCTGTTTAAATTGTGTTTAGTTTAGCTTTTCAAGTATCAGTCAGCTAGGAAGCTGCTGCCTGGAGTCTAACCTTGGTCTAAAGCAATTGCTTTCCCTTTGCAATGTGCAGGGTGGCCTGATAAAACTTCCTTTAAAAAAAAGAAAGAAAGAAAGAATCAGCGTTGTTTTTCAGAGCAAATTAGGCATCTTTTAAAAAGCAAAGCCCTTGCCTGGAAAAAGAAAATCTACTTGACAAGTGCCTTCCTAGGCATCCCAGCAGGAAGCTGCATTTCTGGTGCCTTCCGGGCACGTGAGACATCAGCTGATTGATAGTGCAACCCTTGCAGACCCCGCGGCGCTGATGGGACGAGTGCAATAGTGCCCGTGCTGGTGCGTATAACTGGTTGGAAAAATGCAGGCTGCTTGGCTGTACATGAGTGCTGCATGCAGCTTTTTTAGCATACGGTGATTTAAAAGCATATTCTTCAGGTTAACAGCAGCCTCCCAGTTTCCTGGGAGGAAAACCTCGTGATTGATTTTATTTTAAATTGCAGGGAAGAAGCGTGTTTGAAGACCGTAAGTGCCCGTGCGTATCATCTGCATCCCACAGCTTGCAGCCAGGGGCTGGGGCAGGGGAAGCCGGCTGCAGCCGAAGGAAATCAACCCCCGTGTTTTTAGCATCCTGGCTGTAGCGGCAAGGAAATTTTAGCATGTTTGAAGCTTCCTGCTTAAATCCTCGTAAAGGGTTGTTAGGAGGAGATGGGCACACGGAAAGAGATGGGGCTGTCCCACAGGGGCATGGGGTCCTTGGCCCTGGTGTCCCTCTAAAGCTCACTTGGCTTTTTCCTCCTCCCGCTGGGGTAATTGCTCCTAATGAAGGCATGCTGCAGGAAGGGGAGGGGGAGTGATGGGGTGCAGAGTCCTGCTGATGTGCTGCCGACGGGGCCCCTTAACCCTGCGCTGGCCAGCACTGCCAGGCCAGGGGTAGCTGGGCGGTGGCATGTCCTGGCAGGTCATCTGCACACGCCAGCTGGGAAGGAGCTGTCTGTCTCGTCGCGGGGACAGGGTCTCTGCATCCCTCTGTTCACCCCCTCCCCACCCCAGCTTCCTGTAGGTCATTATTTCAGCCCCAGCTGCTTCTCCCTCTGCCAGGGTGATTCTTCCCTTTTCTCAGTCTCGCTGCTCATAAAATACCCCCGCATGCTCTGGGTACATCACCCCTGCATGTGCTGCCCTGCACTGCACTCCAGCCTGCAGCAGTTTGGGGGTCTCCAGGCCGTCACCAACCCCCTGGATTTGCAGGGTGCAGCTGGATTGAATAGGCAGGGCTTATTTCCTTGACTATCTGGATGGGGGCCTTGCCATCCCGATGTCAGCCGTGCCCTTAGACCCAGAGCCAGCCATGCTGGGCATTCACTTGTCGAACCAGAAGCACCGGGCAGTGCTAGGGCCCTGGCTTTGCTCTGGGCTTGTCCCACTGTACCGGGTGGGAGGGATCCGGGCAGCTCCGGTGGGTGGTGTTTGGCGGGCACCGATGCCAGCTGCTGTCATGACTCTTTAAGAGCGGGGAGAGAAGTAGCAGCGAGAGGTGGCTTCATTTTAATTGCAGCTTTTAATAGGCTCCAGGCGTGCGGGGCTGGCGCTTTGTCTCCATGCAGGGCACAGATGTAAGTGTGGGTTCGGATGTCATAATTATGGAAATTACACCCACGGCCTCCACTTCATCATAGGGTTTAGTCAAGCTCATCATGGCAGGGCTAAGGGATGGCAGGGGGCTGCTATCTGAGTGCAGCTGGGCTGGGGAGGAAAGGGGGGCTGGCATCATGGGAGCAGGATGCAATGCTGTTCGCTCTCGTGGTCCCTTCTCTCTGCCAGCTCTGCAGCAAGGCTGGGCCCTTCCCTAGGTTGCTGCAGCGCCACGAGCTGATGCTTGTTGAGCCTGTTCCCTACGAGGCAGTGAATCATGGTGCCTGTGTCTGGGGATCTTGCCGTAGAAGTGCTCCCTTGCCTCTTCACGCCAGCCCTGCCACACAGGGAGGGAGTCGGGTTGGTGTGTGCCAGCCCTCGTGCAGGTGCCTGCCTCGGGCTCTCTGCTTTTGAGCATCGGGGCCACGAAACCCATTTTACAGCAGGTTAAAGCGAGGCACGAGACTTAAACACTCAAAGTTGCAGAGCAGGGTATAGGTAGATTTGGGAACGAACCCGGGGGTCCTGCTTCTGGGAGGAACGGAGCATGGGGAAAATGGCCAAGTTCTGTACAGTCAAACCCCCTTCGTGGAGGAAGAAGTGAGCGGCGTTGAAGGTGTCAGAGGTGGTAGCCACGTGTCTAACACAGGAATAGAGGCTGAGCTTGAAGCTGACAGTTTGGGTGTGAGATGGCCCCCGGGGTTATCTTCCCAGCTGCTTCTGCTTGGGCAAGTCACGTCTTGTCCCCGGTCAAACAGGAGGATGCTACGTAGGAACCTGGTTTCGGTCCTCTGAGCCTTTGTCCATTTGCTGTTGAGACCCCCAGGAGGGGGAGAGGCCAGCAACACCTCTGCTATGGGGACAGGGCAGAGGACAGCCTGGCTGGACCTGCAAAATGGGCACAGGGTTTTGGGAATCGCCTCGCAGCTTTGGCTAAGCCATGAAGCTGGCCACTAAAAGGGGCCGGGGCCTGCTCTTAGCATTCGCTGCGCTGCTTGCAAAGCTCCCCGAGCATCAGTTTGCTCGCGTTTTCTTGCGCAAAGGAGGCGAAGGGTCGGGCGGGGAATTGTTTCACTTCCTTAAAGGGAAACCCTTGGTAGCAGGGTTGGATCTGCTTTTTCCTCTTGATTGGCTGCCACTTATTATGCAGGGTTTCCTTTGGTTTTCTTATGTGTTATAGGATGTCTGTGGTCTCGGTGACCTCCGTTTCCTCTCTCAGCAACAGTTGAACCATGGATGCTAAGCACAGTTATCTGTAGCTGAGCTAAAGTGCACCTTCCTTGTGACGTGCACTCTGTCTCATGGAGATCAGGCCAAATTGTTATAACCCAGTGCTATATAACCCAATATATAACCGATATTGTTGTAACCCAATGCTATATAATCCAATATATAACTGATATTGTTATAACCCAGTGCTATATAACCCAATATATAACCGATATTGTTGTAACCCAATGCTATATAATCCAATATATAACTGATATTGTTATAACCCAGTGCTATATAACCCAATATATAACCGATATTGTTGTAACCCAATGCTATATAATCCAATATATAACTGATATTGTTATAACCCAGTGCTATATAACCCAATATATAACCGATATTGTTGTAACCCAATGCTATATAATCCAATATATAACTGATATTGTTATAACCCAGTGCTATATAACCCAATATATAACCGATATTGTTGTAACCCAATGCTATATAATCCAATATATAACTGATATTGTTATAACCCAGTGCTATATAACCCAATATATAACCGATATTGTTGTAACCCAATGCTATATAATCCAATATATAACTGATATTGTTATAACCCAGTGCTATATAACCCAATATATAACCGATATTGTTGTAACCCAATGCTATATAATCCAATATATAACTGATATTGTTATAACCCAGTGCTATATAATCCAATATATAACGGCTATTGTTATAACCCAATGCTACATAACCCAATATATAATCTATGTTGTTAAAACCGAATGCTATATAACCCAAGGTATAATCTATATTGTTATAACCCAATGCTATATAACCCAATATATAACCTATATGGTTATAACCCAATCTATGCGAGCTCTGTGACCCTTATTATGTGCCTTTTGCTTTCTTTGCACAGACTGAACCTCCCGCTAGCTTTATAGATTTGTTGGGCCACAGTCTTGTCATTTGAGTCTCAGTTTTGCCATTTTATATCCAAATTTCCCTGCGTTGCTTTCTTCCAGTGGAGGAGGGAGTGAATGGAAAACGGCTCCATCTCCTAGCTATGGTATTACTTTGGCTTCTGCATCAGTCAACTTTGTTCTTGATCTGGGAGGTTCCCAGAGAGAAGCTCTCAGTCTTGTGTTTCCATTCTCTGCCCTGCGGATTTGTTCACGAAGTTGTTTTTGTTCCTCTCCATTTCCTCTTGGCCGTCACGCAAACGCTTGTTCTAGAAATTCAGTAGAAGCAAGTCTCTCTCTCTCTGAGGTTACGGGATGCGTCGTGCTAGGTGGAAGAGATCAGAATTCAAAAGGATCTCGATGTATTGGAGGAAGGGCCTGAAATAACTGGGTTGCGCTTGAAGGAGGACAAGTGCAAAGTACGGCACTTAGGTAAGAATAATCAAGAGCCCACACCCGGGAGGGGGAGTGACTGGCTGAGCATCGGGGTGTGATGGAGGATCACAGACAGAAAGAGAGTCATCATCGGGATCGTGCTGCTGTTGAAGCCGGGAGAGAAGCAGGTGTCATGCCGGGATGCACAACCTGGCGGTGATACGGGAGATGGGTGAAATCATCTTTCCCCTCCGTTCGGTACCAGCAAGGCCTCAGAAAGAAGCATGTCAGCTGTTGGGAGAGAGACCAGCACAGAGCAACGAGCATGGTCCGAGGCCTAGAAAGCACCATCTGTGGGGAAAGATTGAAAGACGTGAGCTTGTTTTAGTCTGGAGAAGAGAAGCCAGAGGAGATATGTGAAGTCTTCAACCATGTAAAAGCTGCTGCAAAGTGGGAGGCAATCAGCTGTGCTTGAGGGCTGCCGGAGGACAGGACCAGGACAGCTGAGGTCTGATATGAGGGCATTAGGCACCGGATGTGTTCGGTGGCAGGTGGTGGAAACCCTCCCGCTGGAGGGTCTCCAGACCAGGGGAGGAGACACCGTCTGCCAGGCACGGTTTAATGCAGCCAAAAGCAGAGGCCTGGACTAAGCGAGCTCTGGTGCTGGCGTGTCTCGTCCTCCGGTTCAGCCAGGCGGGAGCGTTGAAGTCAAACCTCGATGCTCCCATGTACGGGGGATAGGGAAGTGCAAGCAGCATGGGATCAGGAGCCTGGAAAGCCCTCCTTGTCATCCTCCTCCTGCCCATCCGGCATGGAGCAGGCTCCACTGCTCTCTGAACCTGCCCAATGCCTCTGCCTGCTGCATCGCAGTGCTCTGCACAGCTCTGCCAGCCGGCGTCTTGCATCTAGTCGCATCTCACCCTCTGCCAGCCTCACGGCCTCCTTCAGCTCCTTCCCACCCCTAGCCATGGGTGGGCAGTCCACCTTGGAGTGCCAACCTCCCCTTTCATTAGCCCCAGATGTTCCCTCTTCTCCGCTGGGGCGCACGTGCCCATGAACCACGTCACTCAGCTGTAGTGTTCGACCCGAATCTCTTCTGCAAGTTGCAGGTAGAACCGCCGTGCCTGGAAATCAAGGACTGGGTTCCTGTAGACGTCTACGGACCTGCCTCTCCTGGTACCCACAGCAACATAATGCACATTATCAGTTAGCACCGCTTTATCCTCAGAAAAGCCACAGAGCACTAGGAGGTTTGGGGCTCGGGACGCCCCTGCCCTGCTCTCTGCCATCCTGGGATCCTCTGGGTCAGCAACTTCTGAAATCTTATTATCGAGCCGCCTCTGCCGGAGCTGGCCTGCATGTCATGTCACACTTGATTAGGAAATCCACAGATGGCAGCAGCTCCTCTTCGTTGGGAGATGCAATTTCCTGTCCTGCCATTTATCAAATGGATAAATGGATGCAGTCAGCTCCGGCACCTGCCCTTCGGAGGTTTCATCATCACTAAGGAGCTGGCAGGCGTCCTTTCGGCTGGCTCTCGCCTTGGCGGGGAAAACGTGTTTGGTCAACTCTGCTCGCAATGTCCTCGCTTTAGCAGAGTAATTGGTTAGTCTTGTTGGGATGGGCATGAATGGCTCCGGCCCCGTCTGGGTGCAGGAGATCTGCTGCAGCCAGCGCCAGGCGTTGGACTCTGTTCGGGGTATTTCTGTTGCTTGCGTTACACAGGAGACCACGTTAAATGCTCTATAAATGCTCTAATAGTCCTTTATGGTGTGAACGGGCTATGCGCTTTCTTTGCCTGGCTCTGCCTCGGTGGTGGTTCACAAATGCTGTCTCCTCTCCCTGCCTGACTCGAAGGTTGGCTTGAAACCTGTTTTTCTCCAGTGGGTTTCATATCGCCTCTCTCCAGCCTGGATTAGCTTCTAGCAGCCGCACCGTCTCCTCTGACCCCAGGGGTTTGACATGCATTGCTCTTTACGGGAGGCAGCCACAAGTTTTGTGGCTGAGGGAGGGAAATGGGATGTGAATGAGTCGCCCTTGGTGCCCTCTGAGCTGTTTTCAGGAAGGAAGCTTCTGCCATTCGGGAGCAGCCTGGCCTGTGAGACGTGAGCTGCATCGGGGTCCAGTTTGTGCAGAGCAGAGCCCACCTCCTGCAGCCTTATCGCCGGATGCAGGCGTCCTCCCTGGCTGCAGTCCTCCCGGGCAATGAGAGGCACATTTGGGGGAGCAGAGGTTGGTACTGGAGCTGCACGTATTCAGCAAGGAACGGGGCTTCAGCATCCACCAAAGGTCCTGCACCTTCCCTCATCCCTCTGTCCCGGTGCTGCATGCACCCCTGATTGACGTGGGGGAATCAGCAGCTCCCATGCTTAGCAAATTTGAGGGGTTGGCTTGAGTCACCCAGGACCTGCGGCTGCCTGGGAAGGGAAGAGCTGGAAAGAGAGGTGAGGAAACACCAGAGGGGCAGGCTGGGCACCCTGCATCTCTCATCCCTGGGGACCCGAAGAGCATCTCTGCAGGCACCTCTGAGCCCACGCCCCTGGCTTGAATGCGCCAGGCTTGGAAAGGAGGTGATGCTGCTGTTTTGGGGTGGGTTTCTAGTTGCTGCTACATGCAGAGATCTCAATGGGTGTGTGTGCGCATGCACGTGCGTGTGCGTGCACAAGTCCGTTTCCAGTTCTAGTGCATGCGAGGTAGACACAAGGAGCAGAAAGCAGAGCAACGGATGGGGCAGGGGAAGGGGATTGGGGAGGGTGAGGGGCTTACCTGCCCGGCCAAAACAAGGTTGGCCTGCCCGGGTGTAGACGTGGGCTAAGAGCCAGGATCTGACCCGAGCCACATGTGCAGTTCAGTGAGGCCTGCTGGGTCAGAGGCACGAGCCTGCCCCTTTCCTGGCACGTTGCAGCAAGTGCCCGCAGGGCAGGGAGCTGGCGCAGGAGGCATTTCCTCTCTGAAAAACACTTAATTATTCCATGTGGTTTCAAAGGCCACATGCGGGTCCCGGACCTTTTGTCCATCCGAATGAGCGGCCTCCCAAACCTTGGGAGGGGGTAGGGCCCTGACAGCGGGGACTTGGCTTCTGTGTGTCCATGCAGCTGGTTTTCCAGGCTCCCCACAGCTGCCCACCAGCCCCCACCCCGCTCCTCTGCACCTCTGCTTTGCTCTCTCTGGAAATGATACCCTCTCCGGCTTTACACGGGCCCGGCAGGTTTAATTGCCGTTGGCCAAGTCCTTCAAAAAACGGGCGCATTGTGTGACGAGGGGCCCGCTGCGGAGAGCTGCTTTCAGCGCATCCCTTTGGCTCGAGTGCAGACCAGCTGGAAGCAAATAAAGCTCCTTTTGTGGCTTAAGGATGCTTTATCGAGCAGCGGCTTGGAAATCTTTGTGGGCGGCTCGCGAGCCCGCTCTCAAACACAGCCTGCGTCCCCCCCGCTGCTCCCTGTCTGCTCGCTGTTCATGCATGCGCGAGCACAGCTCGGCTCCCGCCTTCCTCCACGGGCTTGGCTGCGGTAAGGGATTCTCCTTCAAGATCCCTGGGTCGGCGCCTGTGCTGGCTTCTTCCCCGCCACGAGGTACCGCTTGTCTCACTACACCCTACTTCCCATGCACTGGTTCGCGCGTGTGCACCAGAGCAGTGGAGGGCAGGCGTGATGTGACTGCAGGGGGAACAGCTGGGGTTTCTAGGTCTGCATCCTGGACAGGAGCTTGGGTCCAGCGACGGGACGCTTGCCCATGACGGTGCGGTGAGATCCAGATGGGCTGGTCCTGGATGGGGCGGTGACGGAGGGCATCGAAGGGATGCGGTGCACATCCTGGACAGGTGAGAGGCCTGGGGCTGGGGCAGGCGGCTGGCGGTGGTGTTTCTGAACTTCCCTCTCTCTCAGAGGAGCGGACAGAGCATCGCACTCGCTGTCTTTGAAGCTCGGCATCCCCAACCCGGATCCCCGGTGCTTGCAGCTGTCACGGGCCTTGCTGATCCTGCTCCAACAGGATCACCGAGGGCTCCCGCGTGCAAGAGCCTATCGATCAAGCTGCCCAAGCATAATTGTGCTCAGATGATTGGAGAAGGCATCGTTTAGGGCAGCTGTCACGGTCCAGGAGATGCTGATGAATGGGGCTCGTTCTGCAGGGGATGGATGGCTTCTAAGCAAACCTCGAGGAGCAGCTGCAGCCTTCCTTGGCTAGCTCTGCAAGATTTCCCCCAGACCCCCTTCTTCGCAGGCAGCTGTCCTGGTAAGAGGCACTTCGAAGGAGTTCAGTAGCCGCCGAGTGAAACTTTGCTCCATCTCAGCTGGAAGCTTTGCTTCATTAAGCAGCCTGAGGTTGCTGGTCTCTTGTGGAGGTTTCCCTGCACGTTAAATTTAATTAGTGAATTATTGACTTTCCTTGAGTGGCCGAACGCCCAGCTTGGCTTACCAGGGGAGAGATTTACATTGATCTCTCAGATTCGGCTCCATTAAGGGTTGAACTAAAAAGCTTTGATTTCTTTTGATTTCCCCCCCACCTTTAAAGATCTCCTTGTCCCAATCTGCAGCTGACCGCGGTTACTCCGGATGCATATGTTAGCGATGCTGCTGGAGAGCTGGCTCCCGTCCAGGCTCCGCTTTCCAAATTCCTCATTTCCTCCAGCCGAATATACGTTATATTAATGGGATTTCATGCTTCATCTTAGGTTTGTGCTCTTGCTGGGAGAGTGCTGATCTGTGGCCGGTGCTTTTGGCCTGCGTAAAGCAAGCGGCAGCCAGCAGACACGCTTGTAGGATTGAAGTCTAACAGGGTTGCGTGTTAATATAGGGTTGGCATTTTAAGTTCCCCTTTTTCCGCCCCTCCCTCTGAGTTTTCCACTTTACCTTGAAGGGAACAATGATCTGGCACGTTGCCTTAGTAACGTTTCAGAAAAGGGCGTCCATTCACTTCTGTAATTTCAGCAGCGGGGCTGCCTCGAGTCTGGGCTGAGAGCTGTGCTTTTCCTCTTTTACCTCTAAAATAAACCCTGCCCCCAAGCCCCTGGAAAGGTGCGATCTCTGGGTCTGAAGGTCACCTAACCTGCTCCCGGCAAAGAAGCAAAGCGGAGATGCTTTCTCCAAGGTCTCATTTGATGCACAAGCCGTCCCAATGCAGCTGTGGGTTTGGCGTGGTGTTTCTGGAGCCAGATGTGTGCCAAAGACCCACTGATTTGAGAGTTGCTTGAGACAAGTCTTCTGTAGCTTGTGCTGGCAGAGCTGGGATCGTTCCACCTGCCCCTTGATCACGTAGAAGGGGACACCTGTCACGCCGTAGCCACTTTTAGCAGGCACCTTGAACTCCAGGCCAGTTTGCCCCCTTCCCCACCGGACCGTGGGAATTATTGCAGAGCGACCCGTTTGCCTTGAAGAGGGATTTTCTCACTGAGCAGCTGATTAAAAGCAGGCTATTCCTAGGGCAGTTGGAGATGTTGGTCTGCCCCCCTCTCCCCGATTTCTCATATGGCAGAAGATATTGTTTTTCTTTCATGCTTTAGCTGCCAATTTTTCCTGCGGGCGCTCAGGCTGGCTGTAGAAGTGCTGGAGAGCTTGCAAGCTTGGCCATATGCCCTCCCTGCAAGGTCGAATGGGACAAGGCTACGGTATCAGGACAGTCTTTGATTTAGGCACCGGAGCCCAAGAATTCAGAAGCAAGCAGCAGCGTTTAATGCCGGAGGTGCAACTCTGCAAGCAGGCTGGACGCTATGGCACAGTGAGCTCCTATAGCCAGAGTCAGGCCCCTGGAAGCCAGCGGAAGTCAGGCAGCCAAAATTGCAAGTTGCTGCTGAAAATCTAGGCCCGGCTTCTTCGGAAATCGGGTTTCCAACAAATGTGAGCAGTAAAGACCCACCTGCTTGGGTAACGGGACCTGATTGCCAGACAGCCGGGGGAGCTGGTGTCTCATTCGGGTCCTCCTGTCTGCAGGTAACGTGTCTCGGAAGCTAACCCCGGTCACATGTGGCATTGGATTTTTTTCTTGCAGCAAACAAATGGCTTTTATGGCCAGGCAGCTGTTAAATCACTGGCATTCGTGGTGTGTTGTGGGCTCAGACCAGCGCTGTCGGCACCGTGGGAAGAACACTGCGGGCGCTGTCTGCAGGGGAGGTGGTGAGCGGTGCTGGGTGGGTCGGTTTGGCATGGGGGGGCATGCCGGTGGCTTCAGTGTGACAAGCCCTCTTCCACCACGGCCGTGCAGAGGTGCTTATTATCGATGACTGCAGCCAGCCGTATGCTTGGGTGCAGCTGCTGAACATCTGGGCTGGAGAACTGGAGCTGGCGGGGCTAGAAGCTCCCTTCACCCAGATGTTGCGCAGGGCGAGCTCAGGCGGCGGGCGGGTTCAGACAGTGCTGCTGGTTTATCCTCACGCTGTCGGCACCCCTGCTAACGCAGGGTACCCCAGCCCATTCCCTTTGGGGGGCTAGATTGTGAGTCTGCTACAGCTGGTTTGCTGAGGGAGCCCGCTGCGTGGGGTCTGGCATTAGCAGCCTTTGCCTTTGGATCCAGAGGCCCAAGGTCAAGTCTCACAACCGGCGTGTCTCATGACGTTGCCGTGCGGGATCGCAGCTTGCGAGCATCCGAGCTGACCCAGGGGGGCCGTGGGGTTAACTGTTAACATCGGTAGCAGGCACCCTTCATCTCGCTGGTTAATTTATAATTATAATAAGACTGCAACTGGAGTGTGCTGGCAGCTAGGATGCAGCTCCCTGGAGCAAAAAACAGCTGGCTGCAGCTAAGGGGAAGCTAAGGGAGTAGGATGGGGAGATGCGGGCTGTGGTGCAGCCACCGGCGCTCCCTGCATGCTGTCTCTGGGGCCTTGTTCTCCCTCCCTCGTTTATCAAGCTGGTCAGAGCCAAGGGCACATCTGTGCCAGCTGCCTTGGCAGCACGCTTCTCCGTGGGTCGTGCAAGCAGTGTCACGCTCAGATGTCTGTCTCTGGGCCGGCCTCCGTAGCATGCCGGTTCATCCTCCGCTCGCTTGTCAGGATGCATTTGCTGCTGCCCCTTGCTTCCTTCAGAGATGGAGCAGCACGCGCTGAGTCAGGGCGGTTTCTCTGCAAGGTGGCCTCTTTCTCAGGGCGCCGCTGGGCACAGCTCTGCTCGGGCCCGTTCGGCTTCCCCTCCCAACTCGGATGGGGCTTTGATCGGTACGTGGGAGGAAGGAGCTGGCAGAAACCAAAGGCTGGACTCAGAACCAGCGTGGCTTGACTTCCGCTCTGACACTGCTTGACTCCATGGTCTTGGGCATGTCACTCAGCCTCCCCGCACTTTGGTTTCATGGGGTTGTCTGTGTTTCTGGGGGAAGTGAGTGTGGCAGCAGTGCCTGCGGGATGTTTGGGGGGGCCCAGCCCAGCCTGCATGTGCGGGGGCTGAAAACCTGCCTGGAGGGAACTAGCTGAATGAGACCGTTGCCACGTGTTGGAAATGCCACGGATTCTGACACGGCCCCGTAGCAAGCAGCATCTGGAGCGGTGTCTCCAGCTCTTTCTCTGAGCACCGTGGATCCGTGCTACGTGCTGGGATGTTGGCGACTCCTTGCAGAGGTCGGGCTGCCCGTGCCGGCCTTCGTCCTGGCCCCGCAGCCAGGCAGGGCTTGCTTCACTCAGCAGCTCCCAGCAACTTGCTTCCCAGCCTCTCCAAGAGGTCTGATCCCGATTGGTGCTGGGCTCTCCTGTCTTCCCACCATGTCCGTGGGAACTACTGGTGCCAAGCACCTCCCAGGACTGGCCCCGCTCTCATCCGTCTCTGCCGTAGGACGGCTTGGCGTGGTGTTTGCAGGGAGGGGCAGGGCATTTGCTGCAGGGGGAAAACCACAGGTCCACTGTGCCCAGGCAACCCCGTGCTGCATTAGAGACTGTAGCCTGCAGCTCCTGCGCAGTCGGTGCAGGTGCTGGGGGGGCCGCTTCTCTTCATCCTGTCTACGTCCAGACAGCGGCTAATGAAGCAGCAACTGGGGTTAACCTCTTGCGTTGCTTTGCAGATGGGGCTAGACCTCGGGCAACCTGGGTTGGATCCCTGCCACTGACCTGCTGGGTGGCCATGGGCAATTCTCTTCCCCTCTCTGTGCCCCGCTTCCCCCTCCCAGCCTGGGTAGGCTGTAAGCTGTGCGGGGCAAGGACTGTTTCCCTGGGTATTTGTACAGCACATGGTTATGGTCTCAGTCCTCAGCCCCTCAACCGCATTCGGCCCTTTCCTGTTGTTCCTAACCTAACCCTTTTGCACGCTGATGCTGCGGGCTGTTAAAACCGCAGCTCCGTTCCACCCCAGAAGTGGCTGCATATCTGTGGTGGGGGGTCCCCAGCAGACCGTTTGCAGCCTTCTTCGAGATGCATTGAGACGAGACACCGCAGACATGACACAAGCGCTGCTTCAGCTCCCAGAGCTGGCCGCCGACTCGCGTCTCTCCTCAGTTCGGTCTGCCGGGCTGGGGGACGCCGCGTTCAAGTGTGGGGCTCAAACCCTCTCCCTTCTGGATTCGACTGGCTGGGGCAGCCCCCGCGTCTCCCCGCTTCCAGCGAGCAGCGCGGTTGGGAGGACGTTGGGAGCCGCTGGAGCCTGCGCTAATTCAAGTAACGGGGAAATGGGCAATCCAGGGGAAGAAGCCGCGCTGCTGGATTGGCTTGTTTGTGTCTCCAGCTGGAACGAAGGAGCACGGCAGAGATGGCGCTGGTCCTGCTAGTTGTCGTTGCCCTCGTTAGAGTGGGTGCCTGGGGGGCGAGGGGATAGTCGGGGCTGTTTGGCAGCTCATGGGGTCGCCGGCTTCAGCGATGCTTGTGTCTTGCCTCTTTCAGATGCCTCATCCTGCAGCGCGGAGCCCCGTGGAGACCCCCGCCGGCTTCTCCGATGCGCCCCGCCGCTGAGCCACCTGCGGCCTCGGGCGCTCAGTGAGGGGTGAGACGGAAACCACTGCCGCGCCGCTGCCTCCACCACGGTCTCTGCTCTCTGCTCCCTCTTGCCGAGCCATGGAGGCCACCGACGTGCCGGTGGGGAACCTCATTGACTTTGACTGCGAAACGCCCGCCGATGTCCCTGCCACATCTCCTCCTGTGCCCCCTCCCAGCGGCCCCGGGCTGCTGGAAGACCCCGGGGACCTGGCGGGCGCCGGCGAGGAGAGCGATGCCACGGAGTCGGCCGACAGCGAGAACGACATGGGGGACTCGCCCAGCCACCCCAGCTGGAACAGCTACCGCCGCTCCTCCTCCAACGAGTCCTTCTCCTCCAACCAGAGCACCGAGTCGGCCAAGGACGAGGCGCTGGCGCAGCGCCGGGAGTTCATGAGGCAGTACGTGGAGAAGATCTTCACCGGCGGGTGAGTGCGGCACGGGGCAAGGGGCATGCTGGGATGGGGCAGGGGCTAGGGCATGGTGGGGTTGCCCCCATGGAGCAGTGCATGGTGGGATAGCTGTGGATGGACTTAGTCGTGCTATGCAGAGGTGCATGCTGGGATGGGTGTTGGAGGTGGGGCAGGCAATGGTGTGCAGTGTCCTGGGCAGAGGTGCATGCTGGGATGGGGGTTGGAGGTGGGGCAGGCAATGGTGTGCAGTGTCCTGGGCAGAGGTGCATGCTGGGATGGGGGTTGGAGGTGGGGCAGGCAATGGTGTGCAGTGTCCTGGGCAGAGGTGCATGCTGGGATGGGGGTTGGAGGTGGGGCAGGCAATGGTGTGCAGTGTCCTGGGCAGAGGTGCATGCTGGGATGGGGGTTGGAGGTGGGGCAGGCAATGGTGTGCAGTGTCCTGGGCAGAGGTGCATGCTGGGATGGGGGTTGGAGGTGGGGCAGGCAATGGTGTGCAGTGTCCTGGGCAGAGGTGCATGCTGGGATGGGGGTTGGAGGTGGGGCAGGCAATGGTGTGCAGTGTCCTGGGCAGAGGTGCATGCTGGGATGGGGGTTGGAGGTGGGGCAGGCAATGGTGTGCAGTGTCCTGGGCAGAGGTGCATGCTGGGATGGGGGTTGGAGGTGGGGCAGGCAATGGTGTGCAGTGTCCTGGGCAGAGGTGCATGCTGGGATGGGGGTTGGAGGTGGGGCAGGCAATGGTGTGCAGTGTCCTGGGCAGAGGTGCATGCTGGGATGGGGGTTGGAGGTGGGGCAGGCAATGGTGTGCAGTGTCCTGGGCAGAGGTGCATGCTGGGATGGGGGTTGGAGGTGGGGCAGGCAATGGTGTGCAGTGTCCTGGGCAGAGGTGCATGCTGGGATGGGGGTTGGAGGTGGGGCAGGCAATGGTGTGCAGTGTCCTGGGCAGAGGTGCATGCTGGGATGGGGGTTGGAGGTGGGGCAGGCAATGGTGTGCAGTGTCCTGGGCAGAGGGGCATGCTGGGATGGGGCAGGGGCTAGGGCATGGTGGGGTTGCCCCCATGGAGCAGTGCATGGTGGGATAGCTGTGGATGGACTTAGTCGTGCTATGCAGAGGTGCATGCTGGGTTGGGTGTTGGAGGTGGGTCAAGCAGTGGTGCGCAGTGTCCTGTGCAGAGGTGCATGCTGGGAGCAGAGCGGGAGTAATAAAGCCCCTGGCTTTTTGGCATGGGTCTATCCTCCTGCAGCCTCCGCAGGGCTCCGGGCCTCGTGGCAGCTGAGACAGCAGTGGGCGAAGCTTGTGCCCGCTCTCCTGCCCCGTGCCCACTCTCCTGCACGATGCATGGTGCAAGCTGAACGGGTGGAGGCCAGGGCCCCCGGGGTCTCTCGCTCGGGTGGCTGCCGGGGCCGTGCCTACGCCGGCGCTCTTCAGACACGCAGCGCCCCCCCCCCGCCATCCCTTCCTTGCCTCTTCCTCCAGCTGCGATGCACAGACCAGCACGTCCCCTCCTGAGCTCCTGCGCCTGGTGCTGCCTTCCCGGCTCGGGCCCAGCTGCCAGAGCGCATCACCCCGCATGACTGCTTGGTGTATGCAGATGCACGTGTGTGTTGTGGGGAGGGAGAGAGGTGCCGTGACCTGGCCTCCCTGCCTTGCTCAGTGCCCCCAGCCCTGCCCCAACATGCGCCCGCCTGGACCCGTGCTGCTACCCCCGGGGCCTTTTGCTCTCCGCGCCGCTGCAGTCGAATGCAGCAAAGGCGGCTGAGCAAACCAGGCAGGACCGGGAGCCGGAGCCAGAGCCGCTTGTTTTGCTGAGGGCAATTTTGTCGTTACTGCTTTGGAAATGAGTGGCTCCTTCCTTCCTCATCAGCAGTGGGACAGAGCGCAGCCAGGGGGCTGAGCATCGGAA